ATATTTAAAAAAATAATTAGTTTAGTTTGATATTAATTTTATAAACTTAAAATAAAAAATTAAACCAAACTAAAAAAACTAAGTCAAACTAAAATCAAATCTATTAAAAATCACAAAAAAAAAATCTGAAAACAATATAATTTTTTATTTTTAATATAAAATAACTCAATTGAACAAAAATGGATTAATTTAAACTAGTTTTAATTTTTAAAAATCAATTTACTTTTAAAAATAAAAATTAAATGGAATTGAAAACAATCACCTCTTGTTCTCTTGTTCACAAATACGAAGGAATTTTGTTGATTCGCCGGATGAGATTTCCAATGTCGAAAATTCTGGCTTCAATGAAAATGAATGCGAGCATATCAAATTCTTCTACAGTTTGGACATGCCAGCTAATTTGTATTTTTAAAAAACTTAATTTTTTTTACTAATTTTTTTTTAAAATTTATCTTTTTAATGTATTAATTTTAAAAATAATTTTTTTAAAATAAAAAATTATTATTTTAATATATTTTTAAACAAAAAATACTTTAAATTATAATCATTATCACAACCTTAAACAAATTATCATATAAATTTTTTATTTCAACAGCTCAAAACTCAATTCGCTCAAATGTTGATATATCTTCGATTTTTCCCATTTCGCAGTCAAATTTACAAGGAAAACTGTGCTTGCGATTTTGTTCAACAGGAAGACCGAAAACACAGGCAATCTTGTTCCTTCTCCCTTCCTCCTCCTTCCTCTTCCTCTTCTTCTAGTTTTTTTTGGTTGCAGAGCCTCTACTGTATCCAGGAAGACCGGTTTTTTATTTTTTTTTATTTAATTTAGTTTATTTTTAATTAAATCGATTCGATTGGATTGAGGTTTTTCAATTTCAACCGGAAGACCGGTTTTTTTATTTTTTTTATTTAATTTAATTTATTTTTAATTAAATCGATTCGATTGGATTGAGGTTTTTCAATTTCAACCGGAAGACCGGTTTTTTTATTTTTTTTATTTAATTTAATTTATTTTTAATTAAATCGATTCGATTGGATTGAGGTTTTTCAATTTCAACCGGAAGACCGGTTTTTTTATTTTTTTTATTTAATTTAATTTATTTTTAATTAAATCGATTCGATTGGATTGAGGTTTTTTAATTTCAAGTTTATAAAATCAAATTCAAATAAAATATTTTTTAAATATTTTAATCGATTTAATTATTTTTTTGTTAAGGTTTCATTTTTTTCAGTTATTTGTTCTTTAATTTTCTTGATTTAATTAATTTTTCAGTTTTTTTTATTTACCCCTAATTTTCTAGTTATTATTCATAGGATAATAATAAGTGGACGATGAGTTAAACCTGATTAAAAATTCTAAAATCCAATTAATTTTATCATTTCTGATTATTCAATAATTTCACAAGTCTAAAATAAATCACTCCATGTCAGAACTTAAGTCATGTCTAGAAATGATTTATTGGTCTATATTGGGTTAATTGAATTCAACCTCGATCGTAGATAAGGTCCGTAAAAGAATGTATGCTTATTGTTTGAGATGGAGTTAATTCGCCGAAGAAAGAGATGGAGTTTGAGAACAGTCAACCGGACCTTAGCTGGCAATTAATCGGACCTTAAAAACATTTACAAGTCCGGTTGACTTCACTTTATTTCCCTTTTTTATCTACATTTGTTGATTTAAACATCAAATTGTATTTTCTTTTAAGAACAAATTTAAACATGATACTGGAAGAAATGTTGTTGCCACTTTATAGTTTTGATTTATTTTCTTTTCATTTACTAGTTTTTATTTATGACATTTTTATTTAGATTATGTTTTATTTTCTTTATGGACTGACGAGAAAGAATTTTCTCTCTCTTTTTTTTAATCCATATATAAAAGCACAAACCAAATGAAAATCTGATGATAAAAAACCATAGACAGGTCCCAGGCATTCATAGTTTGGCATGAAAGCCATAACAAGAAAGAATCAGACAATACTTAAACAAAGCCAATAACACAGAAAATCTAACATTAAGACTACCTCCACATTTCAGAAAATAGAAAATCACTAAAAATGACTTATTCAGTTCATCAGTTAATGTGGTTAAACAATGAAAAAAGAAAAAAAAACGTAAATACCTCCTCGCTGTCCTCAGCTGACTCCGGGACTCGGAAGTGGTACCCAGTGCATAACAGCCAAGTAGAAATTCCAAAACTTCTAGCCTAATAGACGGATCCACACCCTAACACGCAGCAAACAATGTCATATAGCTACACAGAAATTCCAATCCACTTCATAGAGATATGAAACCCAAAATTATAGTCTAGAACCAAATCAGCACCATCTCATTATTCAACGAAGGACTGGAAAATAAATTTAAGGGGGCAAAATATAGCAACAACGAGACAGCATACCCCCAAAACTATCAACTTGAGTGCTTTCCGAAAACCCGAAACCTTTCCATTACTATCAAAAGTCGACTCCCATTTCTCCGGCTTAAGCATTTTGCTTACCTGCAACATTAACAGCACAAAATCCCTATCAAGATAATTAAAAAAAAAAACCTCACCGATAACACGAAATCTTATGAAATAAAAGGTCTGAGCAGTCAATCTTACAGTTATAACAACCTTTATAAGTGATTGAGGAAGACAAGGCTCTCATATCCTTCCCCATTGTTCCTACTCTCTGTAAATTCACCACCGATATCGCTTTTCCACATTTCCATTGCTTCTCCTCTCTCTCTCCACCAGACATCTACAGCAAAAAAAATCCTCCTTTTCTCTCTCTCTCTCTAATTATTTTTCTTAGTTTCCTAAATATCATCGCCGTTTAATTAAATGACAAACTCAACAACTGCAATTGCGAAATCAAAATTAATGAACCCTCATTAACTGATTAATTTGATTAATGATGAAAAAACATCGAATTTAAATAAAAAATACATGAAATTAATAGATTAACTGGAAATTGGAAACGTCGATCGAAATGGAATAGACATGCAGCAATGATCGGATGATCCGAGCAAAATGTATGTACGCATGAAAGAAAAAAAAAGGTACAAATATACGAGTATGAAAAAGAAGGTATGTGTACGAATACGTACAAACGTACGGAGAGAGCACCTGGAGAAGAAAAGTGAGATAGCGGAGAATGGTGAGGACGAAGAAGATAGGAGGAGAAGGAGGGGGTGGAGGAGTTTGCTGTCCTCCGTCGCCATTTACGAAAAAAAGAGAAGAAAATAAGAAAAGAAAAAAGAGCGTTTATTCTTCTCTCTTTCTAGTTTCTTATTCTTATTTTTACCCCTGATTTTTTTTTTCATTTTTTTTTCTATTTAGGAAAAAAATGTTTTATTTTTTTCTTTAAGAAGTATAAATTCTAATATGATTAATTTATCCTTTATGTTTTATGTTTAAGGGTGGCGGATCCTTTAAGATATACATATACATACATACGTATGTATGCATGCATGTATATGTTATTCATTTAAGACAATGCAATGCACGCTGGCTTTGGAGGAGAATTTAATTATATCTCGCATGCAGGTAGGAGTCGTTCTTTTAAGGTAAGGGTGACAGTTAAATTTAGGTGAATATTTAGTAACGTGGTTATGATTATTTTTTAAAATATATTTTATATTAAAATAATATTTTTTCAATTTTAATAAATTTATTTTTAAAATTTATATATTAAAATTAGTAAAAAATTTAATTTTTAATAAAAATATTAATTTTTTAAAAAACATAGTTACAAATATATTTTAATAAACATTGTTTGCTTAGTTGAATAATTATTATTTAACTCGGCGGGAATTATGCCCCATAAGACCATAGACCTGGATTGATGATAACGTCCTTTCTACATTCTTAGCTCATAGATACTACATAAAAGGTTTTTTTAGGGAAAAAGTTTGAATGGCCCATATTATGCTGTATTGATCAATGGCTTTACAAAATAAGGTGATTACACTGAATTTCAACATGCAAATACAAACATTGATAGAAAAAAATATATGCCATGTGTCTAGTAGCAGAAATTGCAGATTGCAATAACAAGCAACGAAATGGCATAGATTATCCAAGTAGCCCACTTGACACCAGGGGGGAATGGGATTGAAATGGTGATGAAAACCACGGTGGCTGCCAGGAAAACGGCAACTTTACCCAATACTTTGGATGTCATCGGAAACTTGGCGGGGTTGATAAAATGTGAAACAAAGAGGCAAGAAAAGATAATTGCAACAAGGAAACAGACTAAATGCAAGGAATCGAGTTTGGAATCAGTAATTTGGTGAAAATGAAGGGCTATTTCAAGTCCTGTTGTGAAGCAGTTGCTTATAAGCGTCATTTGCCATTCCATTTCCTGCCTAGCACGGAACATGGTGACCAGCTCTTCTTCTTGGTTCATGGTGGGACGTGGTAGCTGCTGTGATTCCAATTGTCCTGCTTCATGCCAGAGTCGGGACACAGATTGTGGAATTGAAAGAATAAAACCCTTGATAACTCGAGCACCATTCTCCATGGTTTTCCTGTGCTGTATGCTATAAAAGATTGGGAAATAATTTATAAGAAACGAAAAAAACGGTCGGAATAGTATGCTCGTGATACCTTTATAAAAGTTTTTTAGATATATATAATTTATAATAGGTTTTTTTAAAAAAATTTGAGATTTTTACTTTTCTTTTTAAAAATATTTTGAAGGAAATTTAATTTTTTTATTTTTAAAATAAAAAATACTTTAAAGAATAAATACTAGCAGCAGTAAAGCTTCAAAGTCTACGAGTGTAGAATCCAGAATGTAATAATCATGTACACAGAGAAAAGAACTAAGAAAATGGAGAAACGTAGAGAAACAATGGTGAATCCTCTCTCTTCTTCTTTTTTAGTTTTTTCACAGAGAGAAACAAATTAACTCAAAAGCTCAGAGAAAATTTGCACACAGGAAAAAATGCAAAAAACCTTAAATTATTATTGTAAAAAAGAAACAAATCGAGAATCACCTGAATATTCAGCTTTATTTGCAAGAATACTTATGGTAGATACAGTAAGTGCAGTTCTTTCCTCAGCTCTTCGAGCGTGTTTGGGTCTTTTTGTTTCACCGCTTTGTTGTTTGCTTCGTATACAGTAAGTGCAGTTCTTTCCTCAGCTCTTCATTAAAATTGCCCGAATTAATAAAGAGCTGAGTGCTGCAGGCGTCGTTGTTTGCAGTAGGGCTTGAATATGAATCCTGTTTATAAAAATTGTGTAAGAGAATAAATTTAAATTAATATAAATTATATACGAAAATTTTATATAAAACTTTAAATTATTAGATTGAATTGATTGTATAAGTGCTGTGGTAGTGTATACACACTGTTGTCTGAATATGTTGTGCCGGGGGTCTGTCTTGCCTACGGATATATATATGGGTGTCCGTATATATATTCTTATGCGCCTTTTCTATGGAATTTACGGGGAGGTGGTGAGGTTTTGGGTCTTGCCTACGGATATGGCAACGCAAGAGCAAGAGCAGGAACAGGTCTTGTAAATTCAGGAGCAGGTCTTGTAAATTCAGGAGCAGGTCTTGTAAATTCAGAGCAGGAACAGGTCTTGTAAATTCAAGAGCAGGAGCAGGTCTTGTAAATTCAGGAGCAGGTCTTTAAATTCAGGAGCAGGTCTTGTAAATTCAAGAGCAGGAACAGCTCTTGTAAATTCAGGAGCAGGAACAGATCTTGTAAATTCAAGAGCAGGTGTTATAATCCATAAATTATAACACCTAAATTTTGATCGCTCACCTTCTTTTTTTTTGTTGATGGTCTTGGGGGGGGGGGGGGCGTCCGGGGGG